TAAAATATTTCAAGTTTGTATAACTAGAAAATCTTACCTTTAGCTTTCAAAGGTATGTTTGGTAAGTATAAAATTCAAAGAGGACAGATATTTTCTTTTCTTTCAGTCCTTTAGTTTCTTACACACTTGGCCCTTTTTTTTCTTTCTAATGTGGAATAAGATGGTATTTAATTTTGTTCTTCCATAGCTAATATTTTTGATGTATATGCTTTAATGATTTTTTTCTTTATAATACGTTTTGGACAATTTCATTTTTGTGTATCTTGGTATGATTTTATTTAAATTTCTTGTGCAAATGGCTCATTTTTCTTGGAAATGCAGTATAAGTTGAACTAAATTCAGAAATTTTAAATCTTTAAATATTTATTGCCTACTCCTACTTTGAGAATTCTAATTATATGAATATAAGTTTCTTGGTTTTGACACTGAACTATTATGACTGATCTGTAAATTCTTTCTTCATTTTTATTGTGGACAATTTTTATTGTAACATTCATTTATGTTTGTAAATAATTTATTTTCAATTTGCAATCTATTAAAAAATAAAAATAAATAAAAATGAAAATAAAATAAAAAAAATTTAGTATTTATACCACCTTCATTTGGCAAAGTAATGGAAAACAAACTCCCATATACTATAAGAATGTAAGTAGATATACTATATAGCACTGTAGTTCAAATCTAACAAAACATAGCATTTCTGTTTCTGGATGCTTTAATCATTCAGATATGACATTTTGCCTTTTATAAATCTACCCACCCTCTGGAGGGCCATTAACCACATGAATTTGAGAACCACAGATAATCCAGAGGCCAGGTATATAGGAAGTTCCAGAAAGCCTATCCCATGTTCCTTGGGATCTTAGATGCACTGTTAAAAGTCTTAAATTAGCAGTGTAGAAAATTCTGTCTTCTGTTAAGATAGTTCTACCATTCATGGTGTGCCTACAGGGTACTACTACAATACTCCAACTTCAGTATTAGAGAAACAGCACTCTTAGACTAACAGAGTACAGTATGGGCTTTCAAAGCTTGTTTAAATTCTGCTTCTCTCCCCCAAATAAAAAGTCCTCCAATGATATCTGTCAGAGATTGGACTCAAGACCCCAAGAGGATGCCCAAACTTGCAGATGCCCAAGTCCCTTTGAACATAAAATGGTATACTACTTGGCTTTTACCTATGAATATCCTCCCACATAATTTTAATCATTTCTACATTATTTATAATACTTAATACAAAGTAAACACTATGTAACTAGTTGTTACATTATTGGGGAGTAGTAACATGAAAAAGTCTACATGTTGGTCATAGTTTGGAGTTTTGCAAGGGGAACAATACAGGACACAAATTTCATAAGATTATTTGTAATAGTCACCCAAAGAATCGTATACAAAAAGTGTAAAATATCTGTCCACATACCAAAGAGTAAAGAATCCATCTGTGGGCATGGATCCCTTGGCAACATACACATAAGTCTCTCTAAAGACCTAGAATCCATAACAGTGTCTCCCAGGAATCCAGCTCATGATAAAGTCTCACGCACACTTGTTTCACCAATCTGCACGGGGAAGACCCAAAGGTCAGTGGCGGAAACTAGAAAGTCTGTGCTAGTGGGATGAAGGATCTAACCTGGATCCAGAAAACAACACTTAAGATAAAAACCAAGGCCAGAGAGATAGCTCAGTAGAATAAGCGCTTGCCTGGCAAGAGCAAGGGCCTGAGTTCAATCCCCGGTTCCGCAAAAAAAAAAAAAAAAAAGATAAAAACCAAATCTTTCCCAAAAGTACCTCAGCTATCCTCAACAACGGTGAGGTCCTGAGCTCCTCCAATGAAGAGGAAAGCCAAGTTCCAGTCAGGAAAGCCAATGCAACAAGCTTCTCTAAGAGACTGAGAAGTGCACCATCTTCCCCTCTGGAGCCAGGAAGCAATGCTTTAAAGTGAGGATCAGAGGGCCCCCCCAATAAACTGCAGCCATCCTAAGGAACAACGAGGTCCCAAGTTCCTCCTCCAACAAAAACAAGTTTACCAAAAAAGGCAGCATGACAAGGTCCCCAACCCAAGAGAACCAATAGCTTCCCACAGCTCCTCAATAGCTTCCAAACAGTTTTTCCAAGAGCTTTCCAACAGCTTCTCTAGTTTTGCCTCTTATACTGCTGGCAACAATCCTCAGGCGGGCCTCCCACACCCAGCACCATGCTAGTTTAGTTCAGCTGGGTGGAACAAGTTGACCACCAGTTGGCAATCCACCACAGTATTCGGTACAGATGAACCTTTTTTTCGAATATTTCAATCAGGGGTTGGTTGAGTCCATGGATGCAAACTAAAAATACAAAGGGCCAACTGTACTTGATGTTTTAGGTTTCCATATCATCTCTAAGATACAAAATAGTGTCTACATCCTGAGTTGTTGAAAAGATTAATGTTTACTAAATGTTTTCTAATAATAATGTTTACTAAACACCTCAGCAGTAGTGACCTATCCAACAGTGATCTAATTAAAAGTAATTTTCAAGAGTCTGATACAGATTTGAAACATTTTTATTCTACATGATATAGTGGTGGTGTTTATCAAATACAATATGCCTGGGAAAAATGCTTTTTTTTCCCTCTTTGCTTTCAGAAGCCCCTTCCCCAAGTCTTATGGCTTTTATAAGCAGTCCTTGCATCATGAGAGTTGAGTGGTGTTTTGTCCTCTTTCATCGACTGCTGCCATTTGCTGTCACTTTTCTCTCCAGGTTCCCATTTCCCTGCCATTTAGCTCTTCTTGTTATATTAAAATATATATTAAAAATAGGCAGCTCCGTTTGCCGGAGATAGACGAAAGTTGAAATACACCGTAAATAAAATAAAAGATATATAGGTATTAACTGCTATCCAAAACAGTGGCTCTTTTAGCAGTGCTTTATCAAAGAAGATAAACACAGAGTAACCCAAACTTGTTCCAGCAATTAAACCTGCAAAGTGAGCTACAAATGACACCTTTGGGAAAAAGAAAAGTGGAATAAATGAAGAAAATGCTAATTGCATACATCACTTGCATCTTAGTTACTCAAACGTAAATATCATCATAAACAAGAACTTTAAAGCCTGGAGAACTAGGAAACAAACAAGACTCCATGCGCCTAGAGAGATGTTCTAATACATAACACAGGTTGAAAAAGCCTCTCATTTTCACCCACTCTCAGAACACAAGACAGAGTCATCCTTTCTTATTCTTTCTGATCATCATTGCATTTAGAATGGGTCTATATAAAGCCAACTATGGAAAATAGGAGTTCAGTGGCCTCAGTGTCTGGAAAGGATCTGAGAATTGGGATCCAGGATTAAAATACAAGTCATGTCAATCATACAAGTACTCAAACTCCAATTTCAGAAGTCAATCCCAGCAAAACTGAAAAACCTTTTATCAGTTCTATGTTATAATTCATATGGACCCAAATTTCCACTGCTGTATTCCCACCTACTTTTGGTTCTCTGTGGACAAAGAAAAATCCCTGTTGTACTTTGAAATGACTACTGAAGTGGCAGGTGTAGCAATGAAAAGTGTCAAATGAGGACAATCCAAAAATCAAATTTACTTAAGGATTTTCTTAATTTCTAGACTGATATTCAACTACCCTAAATCACAGATAATCCATATTTGAGAATCGTTTTCGTAAGTAAGCAAAATTTTTTTTATTTCAAAAAAAGATACTTACCGGAAACCCATTTTCAGGGACAAAGAAATTCCTGTAGAAAGCAAATCCCAGATCCGATGCAACTAGAAGAAAAACACCCCGATAAAGCACCCCAAATGTTTTGGGGTCCTGATAGTTGCAAAGAATCACAGTTGAGTTGTACTCTGTGTCCTAAAAGTTCTGCAACACATTAACTCGTTAATCCCCACAACAACCCTATGAAGTAAGACTATCATTCTACTACTTTACAGATTTATTCATCCTACAAATATTTATGGATCATCATCTCTGTAGAAGGCTCTATTCTAGTTGGTAGATATATATAACAAGGGACAGATTACAGAGACCTGCCCGGTGAAACAGTGTCACTGAGCAGCAAAGCATACAAAACAGTGTCAAACAATGCTGAAAATAGAAAAGGAAAAGCACTGGGAACTCCAGAAGTAGGGTATGACTTCTAATAGAAGAGGAAGTACTTCCTGAGAAGGCGACTTTGGGGGTGGTAAGGGAGAAAGCCACAGTCTCCAGACAGTAGGAAGAGCAGCCACAAGGTCTTTAGTCCAAAACCTGCCTCGGGCATTGAAGGACACTGGTGGAGGGGACCTGGCTAGATCAGTCCTTTGCAAAGTACAGTTCTCCCCAGACCAGCACCATCAGCATCACCAGGGGACATGGAAGTTCTCATGCCCACCCAAACCTGCAGGCCAGAAACAGAGTGTAGGCTCTGTGTTCTGGTTTGTAATAAGACTTTGTGTGGTTCTTGAGTAGTCAGAGATAAGTGGCAGGTGGTGAGATTAGACAGCTAGCAGTGATAGATTACAAAGTGGTCTATGGGCCACTGGAAGGACTTGGACTTTTATTCCAAGTGACAGGAAGCTTTTGAAAGCTTTTGAGTAGAAGAATGACAAAATTGAACGAGTGCCTTATGAAAATTATCCTGGCCACTCTATAAGAAATAGGTTATAAGGGAGAAAGGACAGGGGCAGGATCCACGGTTGGTGGTGGATGGCTGTAATCCCAGTTTCTCAGGAGGCTGAGACAGGAGGATCACAAATTTAAGGCCTGCCTGTGCAACATAGTGAGACACTGTTGTAAAGAGGAGGGTAGGCTGAGGTACACGGATCACTGTGAGCTCAAGGCCAGCCTAGGATACATAGTGAGTCTGAGGCCAGCTTGAACTATGTAGAGATACCCCGTCAACCCCTACCCTCCCCCCCAAAAAAAAAAACAGTGGTCCCTGTGCCTGTATGGAGTACCCACTGAATCCCTCTGCTCTTCCTGATCCAGGAAGGGGTGCTGGTGAATAATAGGAATATTTCACCCAAGGGCAGCCTGGTGAATAAAATACAGCCAGAACAGACTTTCCTGATGAAAATAAGTACTTTTGCATACTTAGCCAGCTGTGCATCTCAGCAGCTACATTGGGGTTACAGGGAGTAATCTATGCTCCATTACTCGGTGTACTGAGTGGCAAGGTGCTTGCACAGGTAAAGTGGGATTAGCCCAGTTCAGCACAATGTCACGTGAAGATCTAGTTTTCCATCTTTAGGAAGAGATGGAAAGTGAGTCGTTGGGTGACTGGGCTACCAATGATGACTTGGATCGCGGAACCAAAGAAGATGGGACAGAAATACAGAATGAAGAGCTCGATTCAGATGAGGAGGAAAACAGTAATGTAAATACATATTTGACTAGTCAAAATGCTGCAAAATGGTCAGGTATACCTGAACAATGAAACATTAGAACTAGGTCAGCGAATGTTAACAGGTTCTTGCCAGGCATGAAACCTACTGGATGGAATGCCAATGCTGCAATTTGATGTTGGGAATTATTTGTAAGGGATGATATGCTACAACATGCTTTGAAATACACTAATAATGAAATTTTTTTAAAAAACCACTCTATATGCCTCAATGTAATAATCAAAAACATATTTGTCATGAACCTCACTATCTGAGCTAAAAGCCTTAATAGCAGGGCTGTATCATTCTAATCATCAGAATCTAAAGGATTTACAGAGAAGCAATAGATGTGGTGTTGAGATTTTTAGAACAATGACACTCAAGATTTGGTTACTTTCAAAATTGCCTATTTTTAATGACAAAAAATCTTGCCAAGAAAGAAAAAATAAAAAGTCCAACAATGTGACTGATACTCATTTGTGAAAGCTTTGCTTCTAATTGTCAAGAAATTTATTGGCAAGCTATTTCTCTTTCTTTTTTTTTAACGCGGAACTGGGGATTGAACTCAGCCCCTTGTGCTTGGCAGGCAAGCTCTTATTCTGTTGAGCCATCTCCCCAGCCCCATGTATCAGGCAATTTATACACTGTCCTAGTAACTGACAATGGACCAACAACTTGCATCATTTCATGGTTGAAGTTTTCGATCTATGTCAAATAAACCTCGAAACATGAAGAAAAATATATGCACTGGTAGATGCTAAATGGACATTATATAATAGCTCCTTACAAAGGAGAAAGACGAAAGATGTCAAGTATGGCCTGCCTAACAGGCAAGGAAAGCTTGTGTACGGAGCATGCCGTGGTCGTATGTGAAGACTAATTTATGTGTGATAAATGAAGCAAAAATTATCTCTGTAGTAGAGTTTTGTTTGTATTTTCCTTGTAGTTCACATAGAAATTTATTTCTGCTGTTACTTGTTAGAGTTTATAAACAGATAAATGATACTGAAAATGTTGACACTGGGTCATCGAGATAGCTCAGCAGTCTACAGCACCTGCTTAGGCAAGCTTAGGCAGGCGCAGAGGACTGTGGTTTGACCCCCGGCACCACATGCCACCCCAGCCCCACCCCCAGGGCAGGCTGAGCTGGCTAATAAAAAAAATGTTTATTCTACACACTTATTATATATAAAAATTTTAATATTTTTAAAAAATAGTGTTTAGGACAATTAGAATTTCAGTTTCTCCTTCCCATTTATCTTAGCCCTTCCTACATCTCTGTCTGGCTCCTCCTGCTTCCTGCCACCGTGTTTATGTCCTAGATTAGTTTGGTTTTTTAATCTAAAAATTTAGAAATTGTGAAAGAAAACAGATTATCTCCATGTTTTCATACCTCCTTCTTTTCTTTTTTTTCTCTTTTGAGACAGAGTTTCACTATGTCTCAGCCCAGCCTTGAACTCATTATAATAGCCCAGGTTAGCCTCAAACTTAGGGCTATCCTCCTGCCTCAGCCTACCAGGTGGCAGGATTACAGGCATGCACCACCATGCCTGCTAGGCTCTTCTTTTCTAGATAAAAATCATACACAGATTCCAATTTCTGAAAGAGAAAGTCCAATATATAAAACAGGTAAAGCTATTGTGGTCAGAAAGAAATAGAAAGCAAAAACATAATATCAAGATGCCTTTCAGAAAAGTGCAGTCCTCTACTTACCTTTTTCTTCCTCAGAGTGTGATGTCAACAATTTTTTTCTGACCCTAGGCAGTCACCCTCCATATTAGTGTTTAGGAAATAGGAAAAGGCCTTCTGAAGATTGCCAGGAAAACTAAAAGTGTGGAGTGTCCAGAAAAATAACTTACTTATTAGGACGATGATCAGTAGCCTGACAACTCCAAAGGCACGAACCATTTCTCGAAAATTCTTGCAAAAAGATAAAGAATAATTACACAAGCTATCTATTGACAAAACCTCAACCCCACTTCATGAGCTTTTTCTTTTAAAACAATGTTCTTTTTCTTTTAATGTCAAATATTTGCAAAACGAAGCACAGGTATAACATCTGGGTTTTCAAACCATCTGGGGAGTATAATGTGAGTGTGCTTTGGACAAAATGAACTATGGTACTTAATTCTATGCTACACACAATATAATTTCATTAGGTGGAAATTAAGTATAAGTAATATAAAATCAACACAATGCATCAATACATGAATAGATAAGTAAATAAATATTTTCGAACTAATGGCTGAAAAATCCTTCTAAGCTTTTCAGTTAATAGTCATTTGCTACTTTTTCATCCTCTTTCCCAATAGTAGGGAGCAAAGACTCAACTAAAGTGCAAGTGTTACTGGTCTCACTGTGTAGTTCAGGCTGGCCTTGAATTTACTGTGTAGCTCAGCCTGGCCTTCAATTCATGATGATCCTCCTGCCTCAGCTCCCTGAGTGCTAGGATTACAGGTGTGTCACCTCATGCCCGTCTTAAATTTTTAAGGCAATTTCAAAATAAATTAAAATATTGATTTAAAAACATTATTTGGTTTTAGCCTTGAACATTTTCTGCCCAGCCTACAGCAGCCCTGCCTAGCACTAGCAAACCGCTGAGTCAGACACCTCCGCTGGAATTTACTGAGCTATTACTCCCTTCCCTTCCAAGTTAGGAGTTCTTTGCAGGGAGTAGAGATGCTGAAATATGAAAGTTTATTTTAAATCAGTTATTTTCAAGCTGTCATAAGCAGGCCCTACATACAGTTAAGCAATTTATGCAATTCAGTAAACACATAAATCAAATAGTACTTAACCTTATTGCATGGGATACACTGTGACTTTTGTTTTCTTTTTGTTTAATTTTGCATCACAAGACATAAACTGAGTTCACAACCAGTAATGGCTTGCAACCCAAACCTTGAAAAAATGTCTCTATAAATGACTTCTGCATTTGGAAGTTCTATAATTGCTTAGTATTTGTCCTCCTAAAACATTTTTAAATATACCAAAATGATTAAAGGATTGAAAACTAATTAAGGTTTTAGCCTGTTTCAAAAAATGATTGGCACTTTCACAATTATGAGAGCATAAAAAAAAGATGTGTCAACCTCAGAAAGCAATTTGTCATTCACATATTGAAATTAAAAGCTTCATCCAGGGGCTGGTGAGATGGCTCAGTCGTCTAAAGCACCTACTTAGAACAAGCTAAACCAAGCAAAGCACATGGACCTCGGTTCAATCCCCAGCACCACATGCCAGCCCACCCGCCCCCTGGTGGGCTGAGCTGGCCACACACAAAATAAATAAATAAATAAATAAATAAATAAATAAATATTAAAAAAAAACAGCTTCATCCAGTAAAGTTTTTCTAGAAATTTATCTCAAAAATCCACAAATACAAAAAGATAAATATAAAAAAATTTTCAGCATTATATGTAAATATGAAAAATTAAACTTGCCCCAAATTATTGATCAGTGAGTTTGTTTCTTTGTATTATTTTAAGACAGGGTTTCACTATACAGTTCAGGTTGGCCTTGAGCTCACTTTGTAGCCCCAGCTGGCTTCAGACTCACAGCAATCCTCCTGCCTCAGCCTCCCAAGTGCTGAGATTACAAGCATGTACCACCATGCCCAGCAACAATGTGTTGTTTACTACAATTTTTTTTTTGGGGGGGGGTACTGGGGATTGAACTCAGGACCCTGCGCTTGCCAAGGCAAGCACTTATTTTACTGAGCTATCTCCCTGGCTAATAATTTCTTTTAATTTTAAAATAATTATTACATTTTTATCATATAATAGATAGATAGATGGATAGATAGATTTATCATATTATCTTGAGGATCTTGGCTTTCTTTTACTAACTGAAAGGTAAATCCACAATTCTCAGAAAGATAAATGAAGATTCTCTAAACCAAACAACAGTTATGACTTTGGGACAAAGCGGGTAAGGGTGGAGCATTCACCTCATGTGTGTAGTTCCCAGCCCTGGAAAAATAACAGCGCTCACAGACTGCATTCCCACAGTTCTTACCAGTAGAAAATGCATGATGCAGCCTCCCATCAGGGCATAGACTCCTCCTGAAGCGCCCACCTGATAGTTGAGTGGGTCAAAAATAGAAGTGGCAAGGGAACCTACAGGAACAAATCACAAGGGTTGACATGACTACGAGAATTGTGAAAGAGAACTCTCTCTAATTAACTTCTCCAGTGTTTCTTCCCCAATACTATGTTTGATAAGAAAGCAGTCTAATAGAGACAAGAGCACAGATTCTGGACCCAGACTTAAGAGATGTGTGACTCGAAGAAGTTACTTAACTTCTCTCTACCTCAGTTTCCTTAACTACAAAATAGGGCTATTAATAGAACTACCTCGGTGGGGTGCCTGGAGAAGCAAATGAACTTCTACACATACAGTACTCAGAACACTGCCTAACCAGCAGCACCGGACAGCTCTGTGAGCCCTAGAGGATGGAGAGCACCGTCCGATGCCCTGCCACGTAGCCAGGAGTGGCCTTGCCTGCTGGCCTTGCCGCCACTTCCCACTGGATGGGATCTGAGAGACTAAGAGGCTGGGCTTCTGCCAGCACTGCACCATCCTGAGAAGCAAAACGAGTCACACTTTATAGCCAGATTTCTGAATGGTAATGAGACACTGAATTCTCTATGGACTTTTTGGTTTGTGGGGGACTTTTGGTTATGTTTCTTGGTTTAATTTCAGCCAAACATGTCTGCCTTTATTTTTTTAAAGATAAGTGATCTATATGTGTTCACCTTTTAAATGCAAATGTTTTAAAGTAGGCATTTATGTGTTTCTACAGCTGACATCTGATTCAGACCTCATTCTCTCCCCCCTTTCCACCCTTCTCTTTTTCCCCTTTTCATACTCTTGTATTGGTTCTAATAAATGGTTGCTTTTCAAAGAAAAAAAAAAAGAACACTGCCTAATAGGTATTATCTATTTGTTTGCTGTTCAAACTATCCCATACATTTGGTCAAAAATATCAAACCATCTGAGACATGTAGTGTTCTGTTATCTAAGGGCTATCTCGGTCATGATGAGGCCTCAGAATCCTATCAAATACCATTCAATTAGAGTCCCTAAGTGAGATGAAATATATTTCCTAACTCCTTGGACAAAAACAAGGCTTGCAAGCCACCTTATGCAAACTCAAAGATGCTCTTTTTGTACTTAGTTCTGTTAGTTGGTCTCCTCCTTTAAAGCCCTCCTTCATTCCTTAGGATACAGTACACCACCATTCCCACTTTGTGCAAGAAAGACCAAGTGTCTGGCTGAAGAATCTGACATACAGATAAGCAAGCAACATTAAAGGCAAACTATGAGCACTATGCCAACATACAGTCAGGCGTGGTGGTGCCTGCCTGTGTACCCAGAGCCTGGGAGGCTGAGAAGAACTGCTGGGAGCTCGGGGCCAGCCTGAGCTACATAGTGAGACCCTGGCTTTAAAAAAAAAAAAAAAAGAGAGGGGCTGGGAGATAGCTCAGTGGCATAAGCACCTACCTGGCAAGTGCAAGGTTGTGAGTTTGATCCCAGGTACCAGGAAGAAAGCAAGCAAGCAAGAGGAAACAAAATATAATAAAACTGGCTGGGGTGTAGCTGCATGTACAGCATGTGTTTAGCACATATAGGGGCTTAATGAGTAAAATAAAATAACATTTCTGTGGAAGAATTTAGGAAGGAATACCTTTCTCAGCATAAAGGTAGTGGACCAATAACTCTGAGGAGGAGGAAGAGGAGGAGGAGGAGGAGGAGGAGGAGGAGGAGGAGGAGGAAGAGGAGCAGACAGCTTTCTGGTGAGCGGGAGGGTGCTCGGGATTCCTTGGGTCTTTGCACTGAGCTATATTCTCCACCCCACTTTTTTTTTAATTTTTAAATTTTGAGACAGGAGCTCACTAAATTCCTAAGTTGTCTACACTAGGCTCAAACTTATGATCCTCCTGCCTGAGCCCCCCTCAAATGCTGGGATTATAGGCATGTGTCACCATGCCTGGCTAGGAAATAATATTTTGGTTAAACTTTGAACAATCTTTAAAATCTGGATAAAGAAAACAAGAGGAAGGGATGTATTCAAGGGTTAGGGAACCAGTAAAGCAAAGGCATAAAAACATGGATGATAAAGCCAAGTGTGGTGGCACACGCCTGTAAGCCTAGCACTTGGGAGACAGAGGCAGGAGGATTTCTGAGAGTTCAAGGCCACACTGGACTTGCATATGACCCTGTCCCAAAAGAAAGAAACAAAATGGAGGTGCAGGCATTGGCAAAGCTAGCAGTTAGAATATGGAGACGTTGGAGATGGAGACGTGGGTACCCTTGGCTTCTCTGCGGGGCTCCTTTCTAGGACTTGCAGGAAATCATCGTGAAGTACATAAGTCATTACAGGTAAATGGGAACGTTTGGTCCTGAAATGTTATATTCAGAGCCACTTCCAAATTAAGTTGGAGTCTTCAGCTCCTACTTAGATGTGGAGTGTTTCTCTGGGGCTGAGACACAAAGGCAGGAGAAGCAGGCCAAGGCTGGGAGCTATGGGGGAACCTGATTGGTGTCCTCCTGTCTGTGAAAGGCCGCTGTGATGGGCCAATATTTGGGGGATGAATAAGAAGCCAAAGCAATCTAGCGTAGGGATGATGGATGAAATATATCAAGATGGAAACAAGTAGGCAGGCAGATACACGGAGACCACTGTGGATGGCAGAAAAATGCAGAAACAGTACATAGCCAGAGAACAAGCGCCTTGCATAGGGCAGAAGCCACACACAGCTCGCCTCTCACTCATGGCGACACAGGGAGTCACCACCCACAATCCCACAGCTGGCATGTGGCAGACCTAAGGAGCCAAGCCGGGCCATTTTACTGAGGCATGTTCCCAAGCAGGATGCCGTGCTGCCCCTCGGAGTTTGAAGGAATTTACTGACACAATGGCAGAAAAAGTCAGAGAACTTAGATGTCCTGGATATGCAAGCGAGGATAACTCTTGGAGAGAAAGCAAAGAAAAACAAGCTTCAGAATGAGTAAAGACTTTGGCTCTACCCCTGACATTTGATTTTCATTTGGAATTTGAAGAAGCTATTGCTCCGTTTACATCTAAAACAGTATCAGAGGGCTGGTGAGATGGCTCAGTGGTCTAAAGCACCTACTTAGAACAAGATAAGCTAAGCAAAACACAGGGACCGCGGTTCAATGCCCCAGCACCACATGCCAGCAAGCCCCGCCCCCTGGTGGGCTGAGCTGGCCACACACACAAAAATGAATGGATAAATAAATAAATAATTCTTTAAAAAAATAAAAAATAAAATGTATAAAAAAAAATAATAAAACAGTATCAGAAATCAGAAAAGTAGCTATCATCATGACTTCAGACTTCCAGTTGGAAGGTTTAAAGCATTACATTGTATTTATCCTATTTTAAGTTAAAATATACTGATATCCCGAATATTTCTAGCTTGTAAAATATGTATTATAGGGCTGGTGAGATGGCTCAGTGGTCTAAAGCACCTACTTAGAACAAACTTAGCAAAGCACAGGGACTGCGGTTCAATCCCCCAGCACCACATGCCAGCCTGCCCCGCCCCCTGGTGGGCTGAGCTGGCCACACACACACATAAATAAATAAATAAAATCTAAAAAAAAAAAAAAAAGAAAGAAAAAAGAAAATGGCATTTAAAAAAAAATATGTATTATAATAGTTTACTAGTATAGATGGTAATTGTCATTCTGGGGCCAGCCTGGGATGCCTAGACAATTTCTTTTATTTGAGGAACCAGGCATTGAACTCAGGCCCTTGCGCTTGCCAGGGAAGCGCTTATATCTCTCCGGCCCGGTAATTGTAATTCTGAAAAAAAAATTTCTTTAATCTTTTTTGAGACAGGGTCTCGCTATGCAGTTGAGGCTGGACTTGAGCTCACTTTGCAGCACAGGCTGGTCTAAAACTTGCAACAATCCTACTGCCTCAGCTTCCCAAATGCTGCAATTATAGGCATGCACCATCATGCCCAGTCACAATTCTGAATTTTTAAAGAAAGGCCCTTCTTGATCTCAATTATATTGCTCCAAATTAATCTTAGGATTTTTTTTTCCTGTCCTAGAGCCTTTTCTAGACCCAGAGCCTTTGCACTGAGCTACATCCCTAATCCTCTTTTTATTTTATTTTGAGACAGGAAAGGACTCACTAAGTTGCTAAACTGGCCAGACTGGGCTCAAATATACAGTCTTCCTACCTCAGTTTCCTAGGGTGCTAGGATTAGGTGTGTCACTATGCCTGGTTTCAACATTTATTTATTTATTTGTATTTTTTAGGGAACAGTCTACAGGGTGTTCAGGGTCTCACTACTAGATCAGACTCATAGTGATTCACCTGTTTACGGCCTCCCAAGAGCTGGAATTACAGGTACATGCCACCACACCCAGTCTCAGTGCACCCCCGGAGCAGGAGTGGCACGGCAGGCCCAGGGGATCGAATCCCCGGCCCCTGCACCTGCTTGCAGACACTTTAATCCACTGAGCTATTTGGCCAGCCATTTCAAGATTTACTTTAAACCAAAACTAAGGTACAGAATATATTCACAATGGTGTATATATGCATACATATACATGACACACACATATGTACACTTATGACACGTATGTGCTATTGTGTAACAATATACCTCATTGAATACATTTAAAGGGTTGGCTGTGGTAGCATACACTTCAAATTCCAGCACTCATGAGGCTGAGGCAAGGGGATTGCCACAAATTCAAGGCCAGCCTGGGCTACATAACAAATTCAAGATGAGCCTAAACTACAAAGTGAGACCCTGCTTCAAATAAATAAATAAATAAATAAAGCAAAAAATAAAGCCATTTAAGGTAAAAACATGCCATGTTTATAGTGGTATTTTCCAGGATGCTATTGCTGCTACTGCTTTCCTGTTTTAAAAGATCATGTTCTAAATAGTTTATAAACACATCACTGACTCTGTGTTAGTGAAAATATAACCCATCAGTAGTAGCTGAGTAATGTTCTTGTTGAGTCAAGACCAGCTGACCAGGAATTTGAATCCAGAGGCAGAATCAATCTAAACTGTCAAAACCAATGGGGGGAATTTTCCTAAGAGGAAAGAGTTACCACCATGGG